TTGATTGAGGTATTTTTGAAAATACAAATTAATGTACCAACTTTCTAGTAAATTTCTTTGTTGTTATTTATGCTGATTATGTGGGAATACACTTTCCATATAAAAAGTGTGAAATTGGAGATATACCGCCAATTATATAGTACAATGATTCTCTGAAGGAGAAGAGGAACACACTTTCAATAGTAAAATGTATTCATGATACAAAGAAAAATCCTACTGATAAGATGACATACAATTCACTTAAGAAAAGCTACAGAAAGAAATTGAAAGAAGCAAAAAGAAATTCATATGGACTTTATATCAGTACATCAGAAAACAAATCAAAGGCTAGTTCGCAAATTATAAACTATGAGTTGAATAGAAAAACTAAAAGTAACCCTGAAACTCCAATATGTGAAACCTCTTTCAACGCTCACTTCACAAGTGTTGTTGAGAATATAATAAAGCAGTTACCCAATATACCAGACAAAGACTTGATCCAATGCAAACATCTTCCTGTGCCATGCAACTCTTTTTTCCTAACAGGAGTCACAAGCTATGAGGTTGCATGCATTAAAAATTTCATGTCGGTAGATACACATAATATGAATTGCCATATCATAAGACAAACATCAGATCTAATTCTCGTACCATTAACATGATCAATTAGATCTTCAGTGAAGGCATTTTTCCAGATAGTTTCAAATTTACCAGATTCATAAAATTTACCAAAATTCATAAAAAGTGAGATATTACAGAAATTGACAATTATAGGCCAATATCCATCATTTCCATATTTGCTACAATCATTGAAATAATTCTGAAAAATAGACAAGTGAAATATTTTGAAAAAAAAACATTTTTTGAATAATGCAGAGTATGAGTTTCGAGAAAATCGCTCTACAACTCTTGCAATTTTTAATATAGTGTATTCACGGATATTACACTCTGTGACTTGTCGAAGGCCTTTGACTGTGTCTCTCATGAGGTACTCATTTTGAAACTAAATTATTATGGTATTAGAGGGGTGGCTTTTTAGTTATTTAGTTCATATTTATAAAATAGAAAACAGGAACCCACTTCTTATTCTCATGACGTTGAGAAACATACCGAAAACTGGTTCACTGCAAACAAATTATAGTTGAACTCAAGCAAATCCCAAAAAATAACCTTCTCCTCTAATATAAACTCACAAATTGGAAACACTGTCAAGCTACTCGGCATTGTTATTGATGACAAACTCACATGGTCGAATGACATAGAACAACTCTAACAAATTAGCAAGTACTCTGTTTCTGTTGGGGCAGTTGAAAAAAACAAATCAACCTGATACTCTGAGAATGACATATTTCTCTCTGTTTCATTAGCAGATATACTATGGAATAATTTTATGAGGAAATGCCACTCGTGCAATAAACATCTTTAGACAAAAAACAAAAAAAAAAGTAAGAATTTTAGCTGGAGTTAGATATAGAGAGCATCATCACCCACACTTCATAAAGTTTGATATCATGCCTTTACCTTCATTATATATCTACAATTCCTCATTAGAAATACACAGAAATGTTAACCAGTTACAAACCCAGCCAGATATACATGAGAATAATACTCCAAATCTCAAATAAATTCTGCATTTTTATTCATTTATACTTACTTATATATTTATTAATGGTATTAATGGTAATAATATTTTGAAAATGTCAATTGAAAAACTGCAAAAATATGAAGCAGATCTGGCTTGAAAATACGAGCGAGATTGAATCATCATTGAATTCTGCCAGGAACTCTACATTTTCAAATAGCAAGTTCAACTTTTATTTGGTGATTTTGAAAAGGCTAACGATTTCTATCTTTTGCAACAGATCTATGCGCATCATTTGCAGGATGCTAAAATAGTAATATTATTAACAAGAAAAGACTACTTTTCGAGCTCTGAAGAAGAATTCAATCAAATTCGAAACGTCGACAAGAAAACAATTGTTTTTTGAAGAAAAAATTGATCCTGTTACCCAACCAACCTTATTTATGTGAAAACAAAAGTCGAGTTTCTCTTAAACAATTTCGTTCATGTTTTGATGTCAAAACCAAAACAAAATCTACTTCAATTATTACGGAAGATACGGGGGTGTTTCCATAAGAAGTGAGACAAATTCGGATTTTTCAGGACTGAAATTTTTTCAGGAAAAAAGTCTAATCGTAGAAAGTTGGTAGTCCTAATCACGAATCTGAAGGAATTTATAGCCTATTTTGTCCCCCAATATGTTTTACCGTAAAATTGGGGTGTTCCATCGCGAGTGGCGGACAGTGTATATCACTTTGGCCAACCCCATTCAGGTGGTAGGTGCATTTTGAGCATTTCCATCAGTCCAGAGAGTTTCATCGTTCTACCTCGAATATTACGGAAGATACGGGGGTGTTTCTATGAGAAGTGAGACGCACTGTATAATACAAGTAAAAAATTGAACAATTAACAAAAAATTAAAAATTGAAATTGAAAATTTAGAGGTTCCAAACCAAGTTACTTCACGTTTTGATTGTTAGTATCCTCAATCGTCTTTGGGCGATGACTGGACTAATTCCTTCGGGAGATGACTATTTATTGGTCATCCGAGTACTTTCACGAGAGTTGGCCAACTCCCGCCAAACGGTCATCTCTCGCTGAACCGATAAAGCGGAAAGAGGGAATAAGTGAAAGTACTCGAATGACCCATAAATAGTCATCTCTCGGAGGTATTACTCCATTCATCACCCGAAGACGATTGTGGACATTAATAATCGAAACGTCGTAAAGTAACTTGGCTTAGAATCTCTTAATTTTTAATTTTCATTTTTTAATTTTTATTCAATTGTTCTATTTTTTACTTGTATTTTTTATCACCTATAGTAAGTGGTCATATCTGTAAATAAATAGGCTTAACACAGAAAGAACAGCGATGGATGCATTTTTTCCGGAAGGTCTATGTCCATGTATCAATCAATTAGTGAACATCGTACAGCTGAAATTATAAAGATGATGAAGGTAAAAATAAATGTAAGTGGGCGGAGGCGGCATTTTTCATTTTTTGATCCGGGGCTGAACTTGCTAACCAAACATAGCTACAATATTCCGTAATTGGTCTTATCAATGTATAATACAATATCTTTATAGAATTAATGTTGGTGAAGTCTTTTGTAGCCATGCATTTCTAAAAAGCCTAATATTTTCATTGCTCTACTAGAGATATCTTCACAGTGAAGGTGAGAATTTTGACAAATACCACGTCACCAAGATCTTATATAGATTCAAGTGACTCTAATGGTTTGTTAATAAGTACCATTCTGATCATTCCCATTCCCATTTTGTCTTCAATCGAGGACCGCCTGCCCGGTACTGACGATGCCCACCCAATAGGCTGAAACAGCTGTCTACCGGTGGCTCTTAGATTGAAATCAATATGAGAATGATCAGAATGGTACTTATACTTACTTATATATATCTTGGAGCTTTTTGGCAGCCCGAACAAAACATTAATTTACTCTTTCCAGAATTTTTTATGAAAGCACCATGTTCTCAAAACAGAAATCTATGAAAAAATACAAACACGTCATGAAATACGTTTCAGTAAACCCTTGTATTTTTTCCATTGAGAAACTTTATCTCGCATTCAGAAAACCAAGTTTGTATTGGGACCAAAATATAGTGCTTATAGTTGTCCAAATGGAGTTGTCCAATTTTTTTGAAACAAAAATCAAGAGAAGAGAGTAAAAAGTTCGAAAAAATAGCTCTCGTTAAAAATTTATTGAAATGAGAAATGAAAAATTGAAAGAAGTAGAAGCTACACTGTCTTTTTGACAATAAATTGAGACAAAACTACATCGCAGATGACTATTTTATACTGTATATTTCCTGAATATTACTGGAGTTTTTTCCCAACACCAAATCGTTATTTTTACACCTCGACACGTGTTTCGATCACCAAGTGATCATCTTCAAGAGGAAGATGATCACTTGGTGATCGATACACGTGTCGAGGTGTAAAAATAACGATTTGGTGTTGGGAAAAAGTTCCAGTAATATTCATTACTACACCAAAGGTTCCAAACAGTACATCATATGTATATTTCCTTCCCAAAAACACTTGGCACAAACACTTAAGCATTTTGCACTGTCTGTCAATCACCAAAAAAATCTGCTTTTTATATTGGGTTGAAAAAGCCTGATACATATATAATATTTTAGGTGCCTTTCAATTTTGACACCTTTAATAGGGTTGTTTTCAGTAGTTTTTGTGCCTCTCGATCGTTGCGCCCGTGTTAGTTGTCCTGGTTTGTTAATGATCGATACATTTTTGAAATGAGTTGAATGCCAAATTTCCAGTTAATGAATTTTACTAGTTCTGACTTCCATTGTCTAATGATTCTAACATGATTCGAAATCTGAAAGAACAAATAAAATTAAAATGAGTAGCTAAAAATAACGTGAAAGGATATTAAAATAAAATAAAAATGAGTAAAAAGTCAAAAATTCAACAATTAATAATTGAATTAAAACATCAAATCAGATTTCAAACTAAGTCAGTAGTTTTGGTGCCTCTAGATCGATGCGCCCATGGTGTTTGTTCTGGTTGCCCTGACACCGGCGCTGGCTTCTACTTACGTTAGTTCGCAACAAAATACCATTGGGACTCGCCTTCATCTTTGATATTCTTGGTATGAGTTTCGTGTGGATTCCATGAATATCATTATTTTATGCTCATAATATGAAAATATAACATTAAAAAATAGTTCAGTTGAAATGTATTTTGTGGATCATTTTGTAGATATAGTGAGAAAGTAAATAAGAAAGTAACTTATTAATTTTGACTTTTTTTCGTAAATTTTCCAAAAAACCCCCTCCCTGTGAATACAATAGTAGGACTCTGACATACTATTTTGGTTAAAACGATATCCCATGATTTTTCACCTTCAAATTTGGTTAGTAAAGTATGTATTATCAATTGAACCCATTCATTTTTCAGAATTGCCAAGTATCTAATACCAAAATGTCTGAAGCTCGCACCAACAAACGTAGCAACAATACATTCACTTGCGACATTTGCACAAAGACTTTCCCGATGAAATTCAATCTGAAGAGGCACTTATTAACCCATCAGACCCCAGCGGAAAAAATTAAGTTCGAATGCAAAGTATGCTCAAAAAAATTCCTTCGCCATGACCATCTTGTTGAGCATGAGCAAATTCATTCGGAAAAAAAAGAAATTGCTTGTCCATACTGCCCGAAAAAGTTTTTTCACCAACGTCAGTTGACGAGACACCAAGGCGTCCACAGGGACAAATTATCCTGCGAGCTGTGCTCCAAGAAATTTTCTCTGAAGGAAAACTTGACGGCCCACATGAAGCGAGCTCATGAAGACGGAAAGAAGGTTTTAAAAAAAGAAAAGCCGTTTGCTTGCACCATGTGTGATAAGGCATATATTCACTTGAGAAGCTTGAAGGCTCACCTGAGACGTTTGCATTTTTTACAGCTCAAAGATGAAACGGATGAGGAAGAACAAGAAGATATGGAAGACCGAAAGACCGTTATCGAAAAGGAAAAGCCGTTTGCTTGCACCGTGTGTGATAAGGCATATATTCACTTGAGAAGCTTGAAGACTCACCAGAGACGTTTGCATTCTTTGCAGCTTAAAGGCGAAACGGATGAGGAAAAACAAGAAGATATTGAAGATTAACTCTTCCATTTGAAGCAGATCAAATGTATGGAATTCATGTTTCAGATGAAGTACCTGAACCTAATTTTTGTATTAGAAGACTTTTTTATTTCGATGTATTTCATATGTTTGTTTTTGTATATTTGATATTCAAAGTATTGTAGGTTCTTGAGAATAATTTTATTATATTATGGATTCTGATCGGATTATTTCAGTAGTTTTTAATATGAAAACGACCATTACATTTGAACGTAAATGTTGAAAGTGATTTATGGTGGTGAGGAGAGGAATTTCGAAAAGTAGAACGATTTAGAATCTGAAACAAAAAGTAATTGATTGTAATTTTTTCCTTCAATCCATTTTCACCTCCTCATATGAACGAGGATTGAATCGAAACATTTGTGTTCTTTTGCACAACTAATTTGATTTAGAGTCAATTAACTACTTTAATTCAAGATCAAGAATTTATTAAAAAGTGGAACTAATACAAAGTTTTTTTTATCAGTTGACAGTTGCACATCATGAAACTAGCATTCGATGATGGCCAAGAATTCGTTGTTGAACAACAGTTCCACCCCAAAGAGATTGCCATGAAGATTGGTAAACTATGTGATGATTTTCTGTTTATGCCGCCGAAACCATTCCAATCAGAGACGCTAGAAAAAGCGTGGCCTATGTGGAAAAAAATTATCGTTCAAAATATGTTTTAGGCTTCGTGGAATAGCATCTACTAGACACCATTCTGATAGAAAATCTATATGATGTCAACATCATTTATGTGTGTGGTCATCAGAAGAAAGTCTTTCTGGATGACAGCCTGCACCTAATCAATGAATACACAACAGTTGTGAATTTGGAAGACTTTGAAGTTTCATGGTGAACTGTTCCAAAATTTTAGAAAGACATACCGTTCTGAATGCATCATTCCAAAGGAAGTCCTAAGATTTTCATTTTCGTGTTCTCCAGTAAAATTTGTAAGTCGGTTTATATCATCGACACGTCCCGTTTTCAAAAAAACATAAAATTCTCAATACGATACTCATATATGGTTTTATAATATACTACGAAAATTATGGAAATGCATGCTACATACCTATGATTTTTATTTTTATGTTTTCCGTTGGAAATTTTGAGGTTAGAGTAGAGGTTAGAGTCTACTATGTCTTGAAAACTTTTGAAAATGCTCAATTATGTCTTTTGTTATCAAGACGAATCCATTAATGTCAAAATCATCGAAATTGCACGACTGGAAGTGAAAACCGGAAATGGCTATGAACTCTCCTCGATGTGGGCAACCCGAATTCATCATTACTTTTCTTCTATCTCAATATTCATAAACCAGAAGTGTTTATTTTTCGATGAATTGTATAGACCCTAAACTTCGTTAATTCATATGTTGGTCACCCACGATAAATGATGACCCAATTAATTGAATGACAACCGACAAACTTCAAGTTTTTTCTCCTAATAATGAATACATTTATTCACTCTGTATATATATTCATATATATTTCTCAATGACACAACACACGCGATCATGTTTTTCTTGAACGATGTATTTCGAGACATCCTTTATACGTTCCCAATTGGAATTTCACACACTCGGTATACGTTCCTAATTGAGATCGCACGTTGAAACCTTAGACCACTCCATCGTTACACTATTTTTCATCTATTTTTTCTCAAACGATTCGTTTTAATACACCTCGTAAATTTTTTCTGTTATGTTTACACACATCTGGGATTTTTTAATCTTACTCATTCTCTGATAACGCTCACTGACTAAACGTGCGTCGAGAGATCATAAATGACAAATGACACATAAAAAAAATTCGTAAAAATATGACGCGTTGAAACTTCCTCTCTCATATACACACACACATAAAAAGCATGGAATTTAGCAAAACGCGCGTCGAGAGACTGTAAATGACAATCGATGACCAATTTGAAGACCGATCGAGGGCCAAATCGAGGTCCAAACCGTCGATTCATTCTGCATTCCTTTTCCATTCATTAGACGTATTGCACGTGACGACTAATATTAGCGAATATACAACTTAGTGCCCTTTTGACATGTTTTGCCCCTAAGGGTGAGATACCTACTCTCCGCAGGGTCGTTTTATTACCTTCTATTGAACATTAAGTTATAATTCCAAAATAGTAGGCACTGACTTCTCAGGAATGACTGACGTTTTCGCCTTAATCTGTCTTTTGCAGTGGTGTACGGAAAGTATGCCAAACATATGAGTAAAAATTATGATAAAATATATAGGATCACAACCTTCTCAACAATCTCTTCGTTTTAATACTATCAAGAAATTGTACTATAGATGTTCAATATTGTATGAAAATAAGCAATTGGAAAAAATCAATATCGAGCTGAATTTATTTTTTTCTGTTAACATCGTCAACTTTCCTGACCTTTCCCTACATTCACAAAAAAAAAACAATCTATATTTCAGTACAGAAATCAGTAGATAATTCGACTATTAGATCCTTGTCAGAGATATGAACTTTGACAGCCTCAGTAATTACGAATTTGCCTTGAATTAGTCCTCCAACTTGTTTTTATGATCAATATATATACGCTTATGCAATGGAATGCAAAGTTATGTTTGGATGATATCTTTCTGAACACGAAAATTGATTTGGATACTACCTTTCCACTAATTATTACCGCGGGCATAATGGATTGTTGTTGTAGCAATCGAAATTGTCATTTGTAATGGAGTGCATTATGCAAACTATGAATGTAAACACTTAGCCTACGTTATTTAAAAATAATTGAGTGTAAATCTATTTACGAATGCGATAATAAAAAAGGAGCTACAAATTCATTAAATATAATCGATCTCAAATCAGATTGAAAAAAACGTAATTTTTTTAAAAAAAAAACACTGCTGTGCAGTAAATATGTATCTACCAAAATCTCGAGCGCGTTCTAAAATATCTTTGATAAAAGACCAATATGGGAAAGAAATAACAGATGCGTAAGATATATAAAATAATTCAACAATACGTTCATTGAAACTATCTGCAAACATCAGTACAGATAAATATTTCAAAGGGCCTGAAAATAAATTCAGCATTATTTCTATTTTGTTGCATAGACGAAGTTGAAATGAGAAAAGACTTGCTGAATCTAAAAAAAGCTACTGTTTTTGACCCATCTGACTGATCACACATTATGCAAAAATATTTGAGAAAATTATTGATAAGAGACTTTCAACCTACCTCAACAAAAACCTCATGATTTAAAAAAACAATAAGGTTTCCAAAAAAATAAATAAACTCAAACTCAGATAGCCGTTTTCTTCAAAACCATTCATCAAAATTTGGATAAGCCGGCTCTAGTCATATTCCTAGACCTAAGGGAAGCTCTCGACACCGTTAGCTCTACACTTATCATCAGCAAGTTGGAAGATATTGGCGTTTGAGGTCTTTCAGTTGAATTATATGAAAATTATTCAGAAAGTCTCACACAATAAGTGAAAAATGACCGTATGTTCAGTAAACCTAGAACTATACAATACGCTGTATGGTAAGGAAGGATCATAGGATTATTGCTATTGTCTTCGTATCTCAATAACATATTTCTATGAGACAGTTATTTGCGGATTTCTTGATTGTGAAAGTGAACGAAGAATTTATTTAAAGAGTAAAGTGGTTCGATATTGAGTTACTGACGTTAAATTCTGAGAAAACTAATTCATGCATTTTAGTTCATATAGAATCGATCATATACCATGTAACATTTCGCAAAATGAAGGGGGTGAATATAGTAATTGACTTTGAATCAGCCTCAACCGTAAAGTATACCTATAGGTCTATACATCGAGAGTCACCTGAAAAGGGATGCACATGCTAACTTAGTTTTGAAAAAAAAATAGATTAACAATACACTTTTTTTTACCGTACCCGAAACTTTCTTCAATACAAAGACTAAATTACCATTTACAAAAGTTTGATAATCCCCCACCTGCATTACGGAAACACATTGGTTGGAGTGGAGTTCTGAAAACTCACCTTCTTCCACTAGAAAATCTACAGAAACGATCCTTCAAAATGATTCCGCAGAAATTCGTCCGAAAAGCTTCCTAGTGAAATAACCGCAAATTATATTTTCAAACATCAAGAACTTTTCTATACAATTCAGAAAATAGGACATCGTACGAAAAGAAAAAACTACTTCACTGTTCCGCGCATGAATAAAATGGTAGGACAGAGAAGCCTCACTTTATCAGTTCCTGAAAATATTAATACCTTGCCATTAAAAATTTCGAATATGCTGTCATCGGAAAATTTCAAGAATAATATGAACACCCATGTATTTATTGACTAGAGAACTTCAAATCTCCAAATTGGAAATAATTATATATATGAAATATAAAAAGCCAATCTCCCAAATTCCCTACACTTTTCTGAAATAAAGGGAAAGTTGGCTTTCACTATACTTCAATTATAATTATTGCAAACTTTCTCGCGAACATTCCGGGAAAATTCATTACAGCTTCCGTCAGACCAGTGATTCACTTCAATTTCCGACGGTCTTTTTCCCTACAGTTTCCGTCATTGAGAGTTTCACTATACTTTTCAAAGAAACAAAAGCTGAATGAAATCCGCATTCTACACTTTCAATGCACATCAATGCTTTCTAAAGACTTCTGATTATCAATTTACATATCATAAGAAGACAGCAACAACTTGAAAAAATATGTTTCTGAATTTAAACGATATCAATGAACTAGCGACCCGCGACATATACCATCGCGGACTTTTTCATAGACCTTTCAGAGGTGTACAATACTGCAGTGCATTATTTTGATTTATCTCATAGGGTTCAGCCAGCGTTTGCAATGTAACGCATTTACGGTATCACATTAGAAACCTCTGAATTGACTAAATCTAAATTGACAATAGCTGTCTCGTTTTGTCTTGGACCAGAAGAGGGTAATCTGTCACGCATAAAAACACCACGAAAATGTGGAATTTTAATTGTTTGTGCATAATAACTGAGATCG